GGGAGGAATGGGGTGGCTGGGTGATAGACATTGGGTAGGGTATGTGCTATGGTGAGCGCTGTGAATTGTGCAAGACTGTTGAATCACAGATCTGTACTTCTGAAACAAATAATGCAATATATGTTAAGAAAAAAAAAAGAAGAAGAAGATAGCAGGAGGGGAAGAATGAAGGGGAGTAAGTCGGAGGGGGAGACGAACCATGAGAGACGATGGACTCTGAAAAACAAACTGAGGGTTCTAAAGGGGAGGGGGGTGGGGGTATGGGTTAGCCTGGTGATGGGTATTAAAGAGGGCACATTCTGTGTGGAACACTGGGTGTTATGCACAAACAATGAATCGTGGAACACTACATCAAAAACTAATGATGTAATGTATGGTGATTAACATAACAATTAAAAAATTTTAAATAATTAATAATATAAAGGGGAGTGTATTTTTAATATTTTGGAAACATTCCATTTTTCTCATTTTCCATCCCTATTGCTTTCCTAAGGAGGGAAGGTTAATGCGAGTAATTTGGAGAGCATTCTGGGGGAAATGAGGATTAAGCTTCCAGAAAAGGAACAGGAAAAACTGACAGAAAACCTGCTACTTAATGGTGAGTATTTGAGAAAGGACTGTGCCTTTGAGGGGAGGAGTGTGGGGGCACGTGTTAGCCCGGTGATGGGTATTAAGGAGGGCACATACTGCATGGAGCACTGTGTGTTATACGAAAACAATGAATCGTGGATCACTACATCAAAAACTAATGATGTATTGTATGGTGACTAACATAACATAATAAAATAAATAAAAATAAAAAAACAGAAAAAGAAAATGAAGGGAATTTATGCTTGTGAACATGCATGTAAGAATTTCTAAAACTAGTGACATTGGCACTCAGAAGATATTTTGTAGATCTTCAGGAAGGATTAATTCCTAATGTAAAAGTAAGTCCTATTTCTTCATTTTTATAAATCCCAGAGAGCAGAATGAAATTCTGTCTTCGTTCATTGTTTCATTTAACACTTTCTCTAGAAAAACATCTTTTCCCCCCACTATCCCTATATTCTGGAAATGTTCAGATTTATATCCTCAGATCAGTTTTCTCACTTAAATATTGAATTGTGTATTCAAATTTCTTATATTCTATGACTGTCCCTCAGACATCATAAATTTTGTCAGAAACTGAGTTCATAGTTTTCATTGCAGTATTTGACCAAAGTAGCCACATGGGGCCTTTAGAAATATGTTGGGGGTGTATTTGATTGTCACAAATGGTTGTCACCAAGTGATTGTAAGAGTGGGCACTGTTAGCATTAAATTACTTGAGTATCAGGGGTGCTAAGTGCCATGCAATTCGTAAGACTTTTCAACGTGATGAATAATTGTTCCTGAAGAAGATGCCAGTGACATGTCCAGTAGTTGAGAAACTCTGGCTCCTGTTTTCATACTCTTTGACAATTTTGGTACCATCATCATTACCCTAGTAATATAAGCTAAAATCCTGAGAGGTGGCCTTTACTCAACTTGCTCTGACTTAACTGGTTGTATTACAAATGAGTACCACTCTTCCCTTCTATAAAATGCAAGCTTCTTTTGGCAGAGACTATGCCTGATCCTTCAGTGTGCATCTTTATCCCTCCTCCAACAAAGTATCTTTTACCTATTAGGTACATAGTAAATATTTAATTAATGAATGGAATAAATGAAAGGAGTTTTACCCCAAATGAAAGGTAGACTGGCAATGCTGGGTAGTGATAGTACACTACGGACAGATAGATGCCTCAAATATTTGCTGACATTTGTACTTAATTAAACCCTTTATAGTATGTAGTAATCTTATACCAGTTGTTAGTACCAGACGCTCTCATAGTTATCCCACACACAGTCATCTTCTGACATTACAGGAACTACTGTTATCTTGTTTGCATTTAGGAACCAATGTTCTGAGCCAAACCTGTAACCCACTGCAGTCTATTCAATTCTCAATGACATGGTAGGAAAACAGTTTCATATACAGTACAGAGATAGAGACTGAAACTTGTTCTCTTACCTTCTTCCAATTTCTTCTTTGTCCCCATTTCATCCCCATGTCCTTCTAGTCTGAGTCACTGGATGTCCCTTTTGGGGTTATAATTTACTTTATTGGGACTAATTACAATATCACTGTAGTTAGTAGAGTTATCAAAGGACTTTGTGAGTACCCAGATCGCCCCAGAAAAAAAAAACCCATACCCTATATGTCTCACCCTTTTATTCTCCCCCACCACCCCACAAACCCTAGGAAACTACTGATCTATTTTCCATTTCTATAGACTTGCCTATTCTGGACATTTCATATAAACGGGATAGTATGTGGTCTTTGTGACTAGCTTCTTTCATTTAGTATAATGTTTTCAGGTTTATCCATATTGTAGCATGTATCAGGATTCCATTCTTTTTTATTTTCAATTTATTGTAAAATATACAAAACATAAAATTTATTATCTTAACCACTGTCGTGTACAGTTCACTGGTATTAAGTACATTCACATTTTTGTGCAACCGTGCAACCACTACCACGATTCATCTCCAGAATTCTTTTCATTTTGTAAAATTACAACTATATATCCATTAAACAAAAACTCCCCATTCTTCCCTACCTCCAGTCCCTGGCAACCATTCTACTTTCTGTCTGGATGATTTTGACTCCTCGAAGTACCTTATATAAGTGGAATCATGTAGTATCTATTTCTATTTTTTTGTGACTAGTTTATTTTACTTAGCATAATGTCCTCAAGTTTCAACGATGTTGTAACATATGTCAAAATTTCCTTCTTTTTTAAGGCCAAATAATATTCTACTGTATATATATACATTCATTCATCCATCAGTGGATACTTGAGTTGCTTCCACATTTTAGTTATTATAAATAATGCTGCTATGAACATGGGTGTACAACTTCATTCCTTTTTGTTGCCAAATAATATATTCTGTTATATGTGTATATATTTTTTTTATCCACTATCAGCTGATGGGCATTAGGTTCTTTCCACCTTTTGGCTATGATGAGCATTTCCAAACATACACAAAAGTACAAAGAGTAATATAACGAACTCACATATACCTATCACCTAGATTCAACAATTACGAAGATTTGTTACACTTGCTTTTTTTTTTATTTTTCTGACTGAAGTAGTTCAAAGCAAATCCCATTTCATTTTGTCCCTACATATTTCAGTATGCACCTCTTAAAAATATGGACCATTTTTTACATAACTGCAATACCATTGTATAGTTTAATTTTAAATTTCCCTTATTATCTCTCAAATATTTTTTATAGTGAGCTTGTTCAAATAAAAAACCAAACAAGCTCACACACTGCATCTGTTATGACACATGAATCTCACGTAATCTACAGCTGTTCCTCTACCCTCTTTTTCTCTAGGCACTGATTTTTTTGAAGAAACTCTTGCCAAATGTCTTGGAGAATTTCCCCCATACTAAATTTGTCTGTTTTCTCATATATCTTTTTCCTCTATCATCTGTATTCCTTATAAGCTAGGAGTCAGCTCAAATGGCTTAATTATTTTCAGTTTCAACATTTTTTTAATTTAAAAATTTTTTTTTAGTTTCAACATTTTTTGACAATACTTTGTAAGTAATACCGTGTACTTCACATTGCATTCCATCAGGAAATACAGATCTAGTTTACCTTTTTGAAAATGGCTCTACAGTTGTCCAGAATTATTTACTTAAAAGTCTGTCACCACTCCCTTCAATGTGAGACACCATTCTAACTATATACTTGATTTCTATATGCACTTGTCTATTTGGGGAATTTACATTCTGTTCTATTGGTCTCCTTATTTGTGTTCTGAATGGCTTAAATATAACAGCTTTATAATCTTTTAATATTGGTAGGTCTAACCTCACTCCCTAGCGCGTGCGCACGCACACACACACACACACACACACACACACAGCTCCTCAGCCCCACCCTCCTACCCTGGTTCTGACTATTCTTTATGGAAACATCTTTTTTGTGTGATTTTTTAATTGTAGGATATTTGGTTTTTCTTTTTTTTTTCCATCTTCCATTTGCTGTGTAACATATTTCCTAGTGAGAAGATTGATTTCTTATGGTTTAGAAACCACTTATCAGATGACTTAGCACATGTACATGTTTATTATCGTCCCAAGTTAAAAATCCCAATATAATGAAGAAATATGAAGGCATATAGCACACTATTATTTCTTGTTTTCTTTGGTACAGAAATATTGACTATCCTTTCAAATTTAAATTTAACATCAAAATCTTCCACATTCAGTATAGATCCGCATTATTCTGAGTCAAGATTAGACCATGTGGTGATGTGTCCTCTTGGCTCTAGCTCGGGCCTCCATGGGTGCAGATGATGCCATATATGCTCAGTAGGTGTGCACCAGTAGGAGGGCTCCATAGACATCCTGAGCTGCCCACTAAGAAGCTCAGGAAAGTGAGACAGCACTTGTACTTGCCTGCAGCCCTAGATTCACTAGAGGGTGGAAGATGAATTCCATGTGGTTCAGGATCCCCTTCCTGTTCCCATACAGGTGCTTGTTTCCTTCCTCCTCTTTCCCCCTTCTTTTCATTTCTAAATTGTTTTTTTCTTTTTCAGCTATACTGGGTCACTTTTCATTGCTTGCTGTTTCCTGCAGATACTTTCTAGCTTGTTTTCCATTGCTTTAAACATAGTAAGCATAATAGTTTTGTAATTTGTGCCTGATAATTTCTAAATCTGAAGTTTTTGTGAGCATGTTGCTGCTGCTTATTATTTCTGCTTATTCTCTCTCAGGTAATTTCTTTCATTCTGTGTTTGATTGTGAGCTATTTTCCCTGGACAGTTATTGAAAGAACGCTTTGAGGCTAAGGATGGAAGCACATTCCTAGGGAATACTTGCTTCTGCTGGGCAATTGGACAGAATCACCCACACTCCATGAGGCCATCATTACAGTTCAAATCCAGATGGAGCAAATACCATTCAAGCAGAAGCAATAACAGTGTTCTGCTCACCTCCCTAGGTTCCTGCTTTTCATTAGATTTTGCAGTAGTAATTCCTTACTCTCTTATCAGCTTTTCAGTACTTTTGAGGAGATGCTTTTTACATTTTATCCAAGATTTCAGTTTCCAGCAGGCAGGTTGGTCTGAATAACATAGACCTCCACATAAATGGAAACAGAACTTGATTACAGATTTTTGTCAGGAAGGAGTTGAAACATCTAATTTGGGAGTTCAGAAAAAAAAACAAACAAACCCTCAGTGTCAGCCATATTTTGATTTTAGCCTTTGGTGTAAATGATTCAAAAATTGCCCAATCACCTGGAAGATTTCTATTCTAAGTCTAACAGCCTTATTGACCCCTTTGATATATATGAATGGACTTTATTGAGTCTTGGTCTTTCTCATGAGGCTGATAATCATAATGCACCATATATAATATCAGTGGTTGTATTTTGGAGCCAATAAGTTTTTCTCATATTCTTTTCCTTTTCACAGGAGAGATTATTGATGTCAATAAAGCAGATGCTCCTTTGCAAAATATGGGGATGAGCCTTTCAGAAAAGGAAATTAATGATCTGAAACATGATCTACCAGTTGATGGTGAGTGTTTAAGATATATTTGAATTGGTTAGTATGGGCTTCTATAAAAGAATCTCTGAAAACTTAGTTGGCATTAAGAAGATGGAAACATTAAAGATAACTCAGACTGTAAGTACACATGTTTTGCTCCTTGACATCTTCAGCAACTTTATTTCTGCTTGGGGTATGGCCAGGGCCACTATTAGACCTGGACAGAATTAGAGAATTAGTACTGTGAGGGAATGGGAATGCATAAAATAGAAGAAACTTTAACACAGGAAAATTTTTAAAAAATTATAGAGCATAGCCCGAAGTGGGCAATTATTTTTAAATTTTTTAAAGCAAGCTCTAGGCCCAGTGTGGGCCTTGATCTCACCCTGAGATTAAGAGTCACGTGCTCTACTACCAGTCAGTTAGGTGCCCCTAAGTGGGAAATTATTAATAGTATTTCTGTCCCCACCCCACCATCTTCAAAGACATTTAAAAATGCAGAATAAAGAAGGAATGTGAAGTGTAGGACCTATTTCCTACACTAAATGAACAGGACCAAATCTTCTAGATACCCTGGAAGGGAAAAGGATCATTAAGCACTCAGGCCTGAATGTGTGGAATGCCTGAATGCCCAGCATTACATCCCCACATTCCTGAGCCAGACTCTGTGGTCCAAAGGCTGTCCAAAAGTTCTAATATTCTGAAAAACAAAAAAAAGTTCTAACATTCTGAATGGGGGCTAAAGGAATTCTCAAACTAAATAAGCAAAAGTTAAATATTAGTCTGAGAACATAACAGAAGTATCTGTCTGGAACATTACCTGACTATTTTATAATCTTAGTTGAATCAATACTTGCTCATCCTATTAAGGTGCATTTAATTCCAACATTATGTAAGGTAGACAGTGTTCCCTCAAGTATATTTTTGTTAATTTATTTAATTTATTCTCTAATTTGTACCACTGTTAGTGTACCAGAAAGAATATGTAAGTGGTCTTCATTGTCTTATTTTTTTTGCTTGCCATGTATCCATTAAGAAAAGTGAGACTAGACGTGGAACCCCAGTTTTCATAACAGAAAATTATTTTTTATGTATCTAAGGTTGATGAAAATTTTCAAATATTGCTAAAATTAGCAGAATTATGGGGGAAATATAATTATTATTTGGGACTATCTTTTAATATTGCCATTGATTTCTGCTCATTTTAAAATAATAATTTAAAATCAACCAAGACAATGAAAAACATTGTTAGATAAAAAAGTTACATGAAATAAAATGGACATGTTGAATGATTCATCCTTTTTTCTTTAAATCAGAGTTAGAATTTTTAAATTACTGCTTATTGGCGATTTGGTCACCTGGGGAGTTATCATCAGGATTGAGCTTAAAATTTTCTGAAAGATTAAGGCTCAGGCATAGAGCCCTAGTTATATCGTTGGGGACAGATAGACCTTGAACTTCCCATATAGGGCAAAGCTTTTCTCAAAATGTGTCTGTCAGGATGGAGATGTGAATTTACTGAAGAGGGCAAGATTTAGTGGAAATGTGAGCCAAGGAAGCATATACTCAAATAGTGAGTTTTACACCTAGTAGGTGTTATCATCTTTGTTTCTGAGAATTTCCAATGGCCCCATAAACCTGACACATATTTTCATGCTTTCCTGACCTAGCTAGCTGGTTTTACTATAGAGATAACTTTTGGAATGTCCTGCCTCAACAGATCCAGAAGAAAAAGAAGAAAGATTACAGTTTGTCTAGTTTTAGCAATCATATAAATAACTTATGTATATTTTTCCTGTTCTCTGTTCTAATACTTATTATATGCATACCTATAAGTGTTACATGGCTTCTACTATAAGTCACTACATACTTCTAATACCAGTAGTATTTGTTATCTAGGACCTTCATTTATAAATTTTTCTTGGTATAGGGGTTTTTACACACTACATACTGTAATTTATCACTTAAAATTTGACAAAAATCAGGAATTTTTCAACTTACCAACAGTGACAATTTTTCACAAAATATGTATCCCAAAAATCATCTATTTGTGAGATAATTCTGTACTTTAATATGTTTCTACATTAAGTCTCTTTATTTTTTTTAAGATTTTATTTATTTATTTGATAGAGAGAGGGGACACAAGCAGGGAGAGTGGGAGAGGGGGAAGCAGGCTTCCCGCTGAGCAGGGACCTAGGACCCTGGGATCATGACCTGAGCCGAAGGCAGATGCTTAACGACTGAGCCACCCAGGCGCCCCTACATTAAGTCTCTTTAAATATTAATTTTTATAAAATTCAATTGAGTATCTACAATACAAATTATGCAAACCATTAGAGTTGGGAAATTAACCTCAAAATGAATATTTTACTCAAGTAAATCATAAATCATGTAGATCAAGAGTAAACTAGTCTAAGTCAGTGAACATGAAAGCAAAGTAGTAATTAGGATGTCAGTAAAGAAAAAAGATACTTTCACAAATCCAATTGAAACAGTGGTGAATAATAGGTTCTGATTTAAAATTTTGTTTTCTTTGGCCTGATCAGAATCATATTTGGTTCTCCAATATCTAAAGCTAAAAATAAGGTCCTATTAAAACGGTGACTTTTGAATCTCACACTTTAGAATTTGTTTTGCTGTTTGACAATGGATCAAAGCAGTTGTTAAAACAGGCACTTTTATAATAAGTAGAGTGATTATTTTCCTTGTAGTTGTGCTCACTGGGGAAGGGGTAGGATAAAATTCAGTAGCCAGTGAATGCTACTATGTTTCCAGTTTGCATTTCCAAGTGAATGCCATGTAAGTATTTGATTTACATTTTCTTATAGTTCATGGGAAGGTTGAAATGAAAAAGCATATGGATGGAATAAAACTTTTTACAGGTAAATAAGAGATTACCATTTTTGTGCTTGAAAATGTTTTACTGGGGGTGTCTGTTAAGCGTCTGCCTTCAGCTCAGGTCATGATCCTAGGGTCCTGGGATAGAGCCCCATGTCTGGCTGGGAGCCTGCTTCTCCCTCTCCCTCTGCTTGTGCCCTCTCTTGCTATCTCTCTCTCTCCTTCTCAAATAAATAAATAAAATCATTAAAAAAAAAAAAAGAAAGAAAATGTTTTACTGAGAGGGATATGTGATCAAAAATAGTTTGTGGAGGAGGGTTAAAATGCCACAAAGCTCTCTTACTGTAAGATGCCTTTTTCTTGATTCAGCTTTCACTTAGTTGATGTAAAGCTTTGACTATTTTACAAAGTTGATTCTGACAGTTTTTTGTTTGTTTGTTTAGTGTTTCAGTGGAGGGAGAGTTCCATGGAGCAACCTGCTCAGCTACTTTTGCTGACATCATTCAATCTCTCTATAAGAGAGTACTTTTAAATAGATCTAGAGGGTACAGTGCTAAGTGAAATAAGTCAGTCAGAAAAAGACAAATACCATTTGATTTCACTCATATGTGGAATTTAAGAAACAAAACAAATGAACAAAGAAAAAAAAGACACAAACCAGAAAAACAGACTCTTAACCTGTAGAGAACCAACAGATGGTTGCCAGAAGGGGGGCAATGGGTGAAAGAGGTGAAGGGGATTGAGAGTACACTTGTCGTGATGAGCACTGAGTAATATATAGAGCTGTTGAATCATTATAATTGTACATTGTACAATTATTTACAGTTATATCATAAAGCTTTGATATGATCAAATTATTATTATGGAGAGAAAATCATTCAAATCACAAGAAAATAAATACAATAAATGATAGCTGAATATATAAATTTTCCATCTGTTATCTTAATTTGCTCACCAATTGTAAAATAAATTTGTTCTCTGCAGGGCAGACTTGTTCCCAGAGCAGAATGTTGGATAATGTGAAATCCATTAAAGGTAAGTTAAAAGCCTGACAAGAAAGGCAGAAACAAGTGAAATCTTCAAGATTCACGTTATCATTTAGATTTGGAGTCCTGTCTAGCTTCCTACGTATAGACTATTTAGTTACTCTCATCATCATAATATTTTATACTGTAATGTCTCAATACACTTTTCTAGAGAACTCATACTCATAACCCCAAAAATTAATCATACACAGCAAATTGTAAAGAAAAGGATTACCAAATTTTCAGGGAGTTGTTTAAGGAGAGCTTATTATGTAGGAAGATTGTAATCAAACCCATGTGCCGCAGCACATGTGATGTTCACAATCCAGATCCAAAGGCTCACAAAAAGACTGAGACTTAATCATAGGATTATACTATGCTTCCCTTCCCTGTACACCTTACCACCAGAACACTAAAGTCCTGTTTATAGCAATTATTTTTACCCATTGCATTATGCCAAGCTATCAAAAAAAATCACAAGCATTGTAAAAGGCAAATAACACAATTGGAAGGGACAGCATGCATTAGAACCAGATTAAGGGGGCGCCTGGGTGGCTAAGTCGTTCAGTGTCTGCCTTTGGCTCAGGTCATGATCCCAGAGTCCTGGGATCGAGGCCCACATCGGGCTCCCTGCTCAGCGGGAAACCTGCTTCTCCCTCTCCCACTCTCCCTGCTTGTGTTCCCTCTCTCACTGTGTCTCTCTCTGTCAAATAAATAAATAAAAAAAAAACAGATTCAAATTTGGCAGGGATGTCACAATTCAAAACAATTATGATTAATATGCTAAGGGCTCTCTGGTGGATAAAGTAGATAGCAGGCAAGAACAGATGCACAATGTAAGTAGAGAGGTGGAAACCCTAAGAAAGAACCAAAAAGAAATGCTAGCGATCAAAAACACTATAACAGAAATGAAGAATGCCTTTGATGGGCTTATTAGTAGACTGGACATGGCTGAATACACTTGATTTAAGAAAAGGCCAAAGATTTTCTCTGACAGATTTCACTTAGCATTATACTCTCTAGCTCCATCCATGTCATTGCAAATGGCAAGATTTCATTTTTTTTATGGCTGAATAACAACCTCACCAAAGAAGATACACAGATGGCAACTAAACATATGAAAAGATGCTCTACATCATATGTCTTTAGAGAAGTACAAATTAAACCACAATGAGATACCACTACACACTCATTAGAAAGGCCAAAATCCATAAGAACAAGCCAAACAACTAGTATTGAAGTGGACAAATATGAGATCAGACATTTGACAAAAGAGGAGATCTCTGTGGGGCCAATCACTTTTAAAAAATACTTCATTACACACATAAATGTGGAAGTTAAAAGAACAGTAAAATACTAGTTCATGAATCTTGAGTTCACCAAAATTATAAAAGTCAAGCCACACTAAGTTCTGGCAATGATATGGAGCAACAGAAATTCTTGTGCACTGCTAATATTAATATTAATATTAGCACTTTGGAAAGCAACTGGAAAAAATCTCAAGAAATTAAAAATGTATGTGTTCCACTCTAGCTATTCCATTCCTGTATATATTATTCAGATTCTTACCCTTGTCAACAGACATTCACGAGAGTGTATGTTGCAATATTTTTTGTAATGACAAAAAATTGGGTACAGCCTAAATGTTATCTATGGGAGAATGGATCAGTATATGATGGCATAATATTATAGTAGAATAATAATATTTAGAATAAATGAGGGAGAATCCCAGCAAGATGGCAGAGGAGTAGGAGACCTAAATTTCGTCTGGTCCCTGGAATTCAGCTAGATAGGGATCAAACCATTCTGAACACCTACAAACTCAATAGGAGATCAAAGAAAGGAATAGCAGCAACTCTCTGAACAGAAAAGTGACCACCTTCTGGAAGGTGGGACGTGCAGAGACGTGAATTTGAGGCGATATTTGGGAAGATAGACCGCGGGGTGAGGGAGCCTCTGCCAGCCGGCTACCGGCAAGTAATAGAGCAGCGGAGCACAAAATCAGAACTTTTACAAGTCTGCTCCTCTGAGGGACATCACTCCAGTGGCTAAGCGGTGGGTGGAACCCTCGATGGGACAGTGTTTCTCAAGACCCTCGGGGTCACAGGAAGACTGGGGGTCCCTGAGCACAGCAGAGCTCCCAGGTATCAGAGCAGGGAAGCCAGCTGCAAAGACGGAGCCAAGGAGTGGGCTCTCAGCTTGGGGTTGCCATAAACCGTGATCCGCAGGACAGTCGGGCCACTACTAAAGAATAATTGGGTCAACCAGGAAATTAAAGAAGAATTAAAAAAATTCATGGAAACCAATGAAAATGAAAACACAACTGTTCAAAATCTTTGGGATACAGCAAGGGCAGTCCTAAGAGGAAAGTATATAGCAATACAAGCCTTTCTCAAGAAACAAGAAAGGTCTCAAATACACAACCTAACCCTACACCTAAAGGAGCTGGAGAAAGAACAGCAAATAAAGCCTAAACCCAGCAGGAGAAGAGAAATCATAAAGATCAGAGCAGAAATCAATGAACTAGAAACCAAAAGAACAGTAGAACAGATCAACGAAACTAGGAGCTGGTTCTTTGAAAGAATTAACAAGATTGATAAACCCCTGGCCAGACTGATCAAAAAGAAAAAAATGACCCAAAACAACAAAATCATGAATGAAAGATGAGAGATCACAACCAACACCAAAGAAATACAAACAATTATAAGAACATATTATGAGCAACTCTATGCCAGCAAATTAGATAACCTGGAAGAAATGGGTGCATTCCTAGAGATGTATCAACTACCAAAACTGAACCAGGAAGAAATAGAAAACCTGAACAGACCTATAACCACTAACAAAATTGAAGGAGTAATCAAAATTCTCCCAACAAACAAAAGCCCAGGGCCAGATGGCTTCCCAGGGAAATTCTATCAAACATTTAAAGAAGAATGAATACCTATTCTTCTGAAACTGTTCCAAAAAAAGGAAATGGAAGGAAAACTTCCAGACTCGTTTTATGAGGCCACCATTACCTTGATCCCCAAACCAGACAAAGATCCCATCAAAAAGAATTACAGACCAATATCCTTGATGAACATGGATGCAAAAATTCTCACCAAAATACTAGCCAATAGGATCCAACAGTACATTAAAAGGATTATTCACCACGACCAAGTGGGATTTATCCCTGGGCTGCAAGGTTAGTTCAACATCCGCAAATCAATCAATGTGATACAATACATTAATGAAAGAAAGAACAAGAACCATATGATGCTCTCAATAGATGCAGAAAAGCATTTGACAAAACAGCATCCTTTCTTGATCAAAACTCTTCAGAGTGTAGGGATAGAGGGCACATACCTCAATATCTTAAAAGCCATCTATGAAAAACCTACAGCAAATATCATTCTCAATGGAGAAAAACCAAGAGCTTTCCCCCTAAGGTCAGGAACATGGCAGGGATGTCCACTATCACCATTGCTATTCAACATAGTACTAGATGTCCTAGCCACAACAATCAGACAACAAAAAGAAATAAAAGGCATCCGAATCAGCAAAGAAGTCAAACTCTCATGCTTTGCAAAGGATATGATACTTTATGTGGAAAACCCAAAAGACTCCACCCCAGAACTGCTAGAACTCATACAGGAATTCAGGAAAGTGGCAGGATATAAAATCAATGCACAGAAATCAGTGGCATTCCTATACACCAACAAGACAGAAGAAAGAGAAATTAAGGAGTCGATCCCATTTACAACTGCCTCCAAAACCATAAGATATGTAGGAATAAATCTAACCAAAGAGGCAAAGGATCTGTACTCAGAAAACTATAAAATACTCATGAAAGAAATTGAGGAAGACACAAAGAAATGGAAAAACGTTCCATGCTCATGGATTGGGAGAACAAATATTGTGAAGATGTCAATGCTACATAGAGCAATCTACACATTCAATGCAATCCCCATCAAAATACCATCCACTTTTTTCAAAGAAATGGAACAAATAATCCTAAAATTTGTATGGAACCAGAAAAGACCCCAAATAGGCAGAGGAATGTTTAAAAGAAAAGCAAAGCTGGTGGCATCACGGTTCCGGACTTCAAGCTCTGTTACACAGCTGTCATCATCAAGACAGTATGGTACTGGCACAAAAACAGACACACAAATCAATGGAACAGAATAGAGAGCCCAGAAATGGACCCTCAACTCTATGGTCAACTTATCTTTGACAAAGCAGGAAAGAATGTCCAATGGCAAAAAGACAATCTCTTCAACAAATGGTGTGGGCAAATTGGGCAGCCACATGCAGAAGAATGAAACTGGACCATTTCCTTACACCACACACAAAAATAGACTCCAAATGGTTGAAAGACCTAAACGTGAGACAGGAGTCCATCAAAATCCTAAAGGAGAACACAGGTAGCAACCTCTTCAATCTCAGCGGCAGCAACTTCTTCCTAGAAACATCGCCAAAGGCAAGGGAAGGAAGGGCAAAAATGAACTATTGGGACTTCATCAAGGTAAGTAGCTTTTGCACAGCAAAAGAAACAGTCCACAAAACCAAAAGACAACCGACAGAATGGGAGAAGATATTTGCAAATGACCATATCCCATAAAGGGCTAGTATCCAAAATCTATAAAGAACTTATCAAACTCAACACCTAAAGAACAAATGATCCAATCAAGAAATGGGCAGAAGACATAAACAGACATTTTTCCAAAGAAGACATCCAGTTGGCCAACAGACACATAAAAAAGTGCGCAACATCGCTTGGCATCAGGGAAAGCCAAATCAAAACCTCAATGAGATACCACCTCACACCAGTCAGAAAGGCCAAAATTAAGTCGGGAAATGCAGATGTTGGCGGGGATGTGTAGAAAGGGGAACCCTCCTACACTGTTGGTGGGAATGCAGGCTGGTGCAGCCACTCTGGAAAACAGTATGGAGGTTCCTCAAAAAGTTGGAAATAGAGCTACCCTATGACCCAGCCATTGCACTGGGTATTTACCCCAAGGATACAAATGTA